CTCCTCCTAGAGCACCATTGAGTTCTTTGTAACCAAATCTCTCTCAGAGGGGCGTGGGGAGGGGCTCTTTATTTTCATCTAAAGTAACAGACAGTGGCCGTTTCTCAATCGCGAGGATGCTTCCTTGGTAGCACATGTCTTCCGAGTCACTTGCTAGGCTGTTCCACTCTTCGTTTTCCGAATGCCAGGAAGGATTCTTGCCTAGCTTCTGAACAGCCTAGCAAGTGTGCAGGTGTGCGTCATATGAGAGGCCCCGCCTTACATTTTCCGCCACAGATTTGGGGAAATGGGTCTGTGCGCAAAGCATTGTGGGGATTTTAAGGACACGAAGTCTACCCATGCGCAGCCTCGAAATTACCCCCAAACCAAGGACGCGGCCTCTGAGGAATTCTAAGTATGCTGGAGATTGGAACAATCCTTCGGCGGCACTCAATGACGTCGTATCCTTGAAATATTGGCTTGGAAGCCAGTTTCCTCGAGATTGAGAAACGGCCAGAGAATCAGCACTTTGGAAACAGGGCTGAAACAGAGGGGATTATGGGTAATACTGCAATGATCTGTTTGGTGTTTCAGCCAATCAGAGACAGGCTCTGTATATATCTGAGACCTGTGATATATTGATGAAGCACAGTATAATAGGGGACCTTTAAAGCCGTGTTGTGATGTTGTTCCTCAGGCATGGGCAGCACAGCATGATCCTGGTCCCCATGGAAACACCGGGGGTAAAGCTCGTCAGACCGCTCACTGTGTTTGGACAGGATGGTAGGAAAAGTGCTTGTGATATTGTATTTCCTTGCTTTCCTGAGCGAGTGAACAACATCTGTCCCTCTCTTCTGTGCTCAGATGCCATCCATGGTGGCCACTTCGAAGTGCACTTTGAAAACGTGCGAGTCCCCGCCTCGAACATCATTCTGGGTAAGAGACTCGCTGTGAGTTTCCACTCATCTCACTGCTCTTCAGAAGCCACTTCACCTATAAAGCCACAGCAGTAGTGTGTGTGAGGTCACTAGGCCACCTGGGCTGAGTCATGGTAACTCCTCCTTTTTAATGGCACACTGTAATTCTTATAGTTGATAGGTACAATCCTTTAGGACTTAGGGTTAGAGTTTATTCTAAAACACGATACTTTGACTTTATACAACTTATACTATAATTCTTTCAAGTTTCTCAACAAGATATACTGACATTCTTTAAGAAATGTTCGACATGCTGCACAACTTTTTTGCGGCAGGCTATATATGTCGTTTTTTCTCATATTTCCGACACACTATACTGTTTTGTTTTCTGTTGTGAAAACACTGAATGTCCTCTTCCAACATGAGTAACATGATATCAAAGGTATCCCAACTGTAGCTGTGAACATGACAGGATGTGTGATTACCTAGAAGAGCATCAGGACTGTTTGAGGCATATGATAGCTATGTGATTAACATGATGATTCAGCCTCTATGGAGAGAGACATATGACAAGCATGATCATTTCTGACGTGGAGCTAATCTGAAGTAAACATTGAATACTGCTTTCTATTCCTCCATCTTGTGACTGTGGAACTCCCTCTCTTGGATATCAGCATGTGAAGGACACTGTTCAGGAACTACTTGATGCTCTGTATGTGATGATATTTCTCTAACATTTTTCAGGCGAGGGCCGGGGCTTTGAGATCGCTCAGGGTCGCCTGGGTCCAGGTCGGCTGCACCACTGCATGAGAGCCGTCGGAGCGGCAGAGTTCGCTCTGGAGCTGCTCTGCAGACGAGCTGCCTCCAGGGAAACATTCGGAAAGAAACTGTACCAACATGTAAGTGAACATCTAACTCTCTTTAACTCGAGGGCTGTTGGCAGGGGCGGAATGGCCATTGGGAATACCGGGAGTTTCCCTGGTGGGCCGGTGCTGTGTGTGGGCCGGTGCTGTGTGTGGGCCGGAGGGCAAAAAATAAATATTTTTCTTTTTGCCTAAATCCTACCGGCCCACATTTGTAAGTTTTTCGGCCCAGCCCAATCTGTTTACAGTTCTGTTTTATATGGGTGTTGAAGAAGAAGAAGAATTGGGGAGGGATAAAACCC